CTACTCAGGCTGCCCCATCCCCATGCTCCAGCTCACTTTGTCCCATCCACAGACTGGCAGGTGAACCACCAGCTGCAGAACGTATCCAGGGAGCAGGCCACTGAGCGCGGCCACTTCTCACAGGAGGCACAGGTGTGGAAGCAGAGCCTGAGGCAGACACAGCAGGAGCTGGCATGGGTGCAAGAGGAGCTGCAGCAAGCATGGCAGGCGGCCCACCGCAGTCAGCAGGAGCTGGCCAGGCAGGATGTCGAGCTGGTGCGTGTCTCAGGGGCCCTGAATGCAACCCAGAAGGAGCTACAGGATGTGCAGGGGAAGCTCAGTGCCATCAAGCAAGCAGCGAACAGCCTGCATGTCTGCCTGAATGCGGGTATGGGCACAGAGCAGTGGGGAGGGGGCAGTGCCTGAGGGGTGCGGGGCCCACGTCTGCAGGCGGCCAGCAGCTGAGCTGTGCTGCTGTCTCCAGACTGCTGCCCCTCGGGCTGGCTGCTCTACCGCGGCAAGTGTCTCTTCATCTCGGCGGTGAAGAAGAGCTGGTGGGAAAGCCACAGGGATTGTGTGAAGAAGTCTTCCCATCTGCTGATCCAAGATGAATGGGAGTCGTGGATGCTGCCGGTAAGTATGGGGGCTGCAGCTCCACAGCAGGATGCCCCCCAGGCTGTCCCAGCACTCCTGACTACCAGGCACGGTGGAGGCACTCAACGTGTTCTTTCCTCACAGAATTTTCTCCAAGCAAACAGTGCCAGGTACTGGATCAAGAGAGAATTTTACAGTGCAAAGAGGTTAGTTGTGTATGAGACTGCAAGCTGTTTTGCACGTATATCTAGCAGTCCCTGGCCCAATCATTGGAAGTGCAGGTTACCCTATTTCCCATACCCCTGATGTGTCTTTTCAACTCATGAGCTCCTCCTTAGAGTGGTGCTCCAAACAGCTATAGTCAGAGCCCACTCGTAGGGCACAGCACCACGCTCCCCAGGAAGCGATGCTCAGATTCAGCTTCATATCCTAGTGTATGGTTCAGTGCCATCCATAAGCTTGTCCACTTGGTAGTAGGATGGACTTGGTCAGAGAAAACCACTATCGGGAAGGAGACTCTTCTTTCACTGTGTCCTCAGTGCAGGAACTTGAGGTTGTGTGCAGGCGGTGTATGCTGTCCCTGCTTCTCTGACATGTGTCCTGTCTCCTAGGTATGATTACAGTGAAGATTGTGCACTGTTAGTAGCCGGGAAAATGCAGAGCTTACCATGCTGGAGGCTTTACCCATGGATCTGTGAGCAGCCCCCAAAGCTGAGCAGTGTGACCGAGAGCCTCACTCCTCTCCTGACCGAGGACTGACCCTGCTGCCAGCCCCTCCATAATACAGGCCTGGGGGACAGCAGCTGGGCTGCCCATAGAAATATCCCAGTGCTGTATATGCATTCTTTCCAACATGTGGCAAAGCACGGAGAAAATGTTCTGGAGAACTGCCTGTATTTTAAAGCAAAGCTTATGAAAAATAGACCTCATTCCCCTCTCTCACATGCATGCGGACACTTTTACCAACATTTTCCTGCTCCTTGATCTGCACACATGTCCCCTTGTCCCATAGCCAGTCTTTCATGGTGATATCATATTGGATTTGTGGGGTATTCAGGTTGGATACTAGAAAAAATTTCTTCTCCACAAGAATTGTGATGCACCTGCACAGGCTGCCCAGGAAGCTGGTGGATTCACGGTCTCTGTGGGCAGCCAAGAGCCATGGAGATGTGGCAATGAGGAACATGGTCAGTGGGGGTGGTTTGGGCTGAAGTGAAGGCAGACAGGTTAGGAACACAAATGGGGCCATCATAGCCATCTTCAAAATGTGTAAGAGGTGATTTATTGACTGCCTTGCAGAGGTTGTGAGCAGAGCTCAGTATGGCATGGCTGAGAGCCATGACCAGAGGGCAGAGCACTGCGAGCATGTCATCAAGATCCAGGAATGAAATCACCAACCCAAGAGACAGGTTGAAAAGCCAACTACACGTGTTCTGTGTTAATATGGGGTTCTTTCAAGGATGTCTTTGGTGGTATTGAGGTACCACAGGAAAGTGTTACCCAGAAAGTCATGTGTTACATAAGCCAGGTCCATATATGGCCAGGAACTTATTTACGAAGAACGTGGCTGCTGACTGAGTTTCTAATCAGCATTTTTACCTTGTTAGGGCACCTATCAACTCTAGCAGGGAACAGTGTATCTCCTCAAGGCTTGTATGATGTTGAGACTCTGCTTTGAGGCTCCAGCTGCCAGGAACAAACCAACCTTCCCTAAACAGAATGTCAGGTTGTGAAGAGTTCGAATTAACTGCTGAAGGCCCTGAATTTATTGTCAAGTATCAAGGATGGGCATGAGTGTGAGAAACAGACAGGCAAGTTTTAAAACACTCTCTTTCCCCATCTACCTCCCCAGACCATGTCAAGCCACAAGCACAGTGCCATGCACAACCGGAAGGCTGTCTTCCTTTTGTATCCATGGCTTCTGTCTCCAAGTCCTGTGATGGAGGAGTGCCAGAGTCACTCTTTGGCAAGCAGAGAAAAGATGCTCTCTGATACGCCGCTCATATTTGGAGCTTGCTCACAGATCCATGCATAATCCTCTCTGCAGTTTTTCTGGTCTATCATCCCATGGGCTGTTGCTACACAGTAAGTAAGCTCTCCCCTAGAATTGAAGAAGCAGGTGAGAGGTTACAGGGTGACATATTTGGTGATGTCCCCAGCCTGCTGTTTGCCACCAGGTCCTTTCAGCAAAGCAGAAGAGCCAGAGTTGTTCCCACCAGAACATCCTTCCTTGGTCAGGGACAGAGCCAGGCAGGGTGTGGTACATCTAACACTGGCTGGCCAAGAGGGACATTACTGACTTACATGTTATGTGGCTTCTTATTCAGCTTCTGAATATCTGATGGCCAGTATCTTCCTCCAATCCAGTACCTGGCACCACCTGTTTGCAAAAACTGCTGTGGGAAGAGAATCTGTCGAGCTATATGTTCAGTGGCCAGGAGCACTGGGACCACCTGTGTTCCCAGCAGCCCGTATGCCAGGGCGGTGGCAGCAGGCAATAGGGGGCATCCTGCTGTGGAGCTGCAGCCCCCATACTTACCGGCAGCATCCACGACTCCCATTCATCTTGGATCAGCAGATGGGAAGACTTCTTCACACAATCCCTGTGGCTTTCCCACCAGCTCTTCTTCACCGCCGAGATGAAGAGACACTTGCCACGGTAGAGCAGCCAGCCCGAGGGGCAGCAGTCTGGAGACAGCAGCACAGCTCAGCTGCTGGCCGCCTGCAGACGTGGGCCCCGCACCCCTCAGGCACTGCCCCCTCCCCACTGCTCTGTGCCCATACCCGCATTCAGGCAGACATGCAGGCTGTTCGCTGCTTGCTTGATGGCACTGAGCTTCCCCTGCACATCCTGTAGCTCCTTCTGGGTTGCATTCAGGGCCCCTGAGACACGCACCAGCTCGACATCCTGCCTGGCCAGCTCCTGCTGACTGCGGTGGGCCGCCTGCCATGCTTGCTGCAGCTCCTCTTGCACCCATGCCAGCTCCTGCTGTGTCTGCCTCAGGCTCTGCTTCCACACCTGTGCCTCCTGTGAGAAGTGGCCGCGCTCAGTGGCCTGCTCCCTGGATACGTTCTGCAGCTGGTG